ATAAAGAAGAAAAAAATTTAAAAAAATTATTATATAAAATACCTTTAACTTTTTGAAAACATTACTACAGAATGTTTAAGAAGTACAATTACAAAATAAGAGTCAATTTCAATTGGAGAAATGTTTCACATTCCACTGTATTTTGTTAAGCTCTAATGTGAATAACTTAACTAAATGTTTCCCAGCAAGTACTGACAACTTGTAAATTCCTTTGCACACGTATGATTAAAGATTTACGTGTGCCGAATTTGCCCGCATTGTTGACTGTTTCTAAGGAAACAAGCCGTCTGGCGAAGGTGTCGATAACCACACGTTTGTTCTGCACGCAAAACACACGAAAGTGCCTTGCATTCTAAGCTAGTTTCGTGAATGGAAACGTGACAAGTATTTCCGTTCCGCCAATCTCCAGTTATAAAGAAAACAGTGACATTATAAAATATACTCTTAATGCAAAAAAAGACACACAAATTGATAATTAAAAAACAAAAAAATATACGTATGCTACATTGATATTTGTATTAAAAAAAAAAAATTAAAATAAAAGAAAGCTTTTCACTTTCTCTTTTCGTTACTTTTGTTGCTTTTTTTTCATCGGGAAAAATATTCTCTCATTTAAAACAAGCAGCAAAAGAAAATTTAATTTAAGACGAAACGTAGAAAAAGAGTGAATAATGAGTGATGTAATTTCATCAGAATCTATGAACACTTTGGGTGTCATAGATTCGAAAATCATGGGCATTCTCAATCCAACAATGCATCATCATGATCTATTACAAAGCTACGTGCGTGCACCGGCGGAGAGCACTTCAAACTCGAAACAATCCGGAGAATCGGAGAATCTCGATAAAACCCCTTCATCTTTGGGAACCTGTCTCGATACAGAATTCACCGACGGCGTTGATAAAGAAAGTCGCGTCGACGGTGACAAGAAAAAGAGAAAGAACGATAAACAGCAACCAAAGAGCAAATCTGATAAATTGTCAGTCGAATCGGAAATGAGTATTCAAAAGAAAAAAAAATGACGTCGGCAGAACAACGGTGCTCGTCGTCAAGAAGAGGTATACACCGATAAGGATCGTGCTGCCGCCGTAAATATGGGCACCAAAGATATTAAGCAGTCGTTGAAAATAAAACAGAAACAAGATCGAAATCTGCAATTGCCAGAAGATGCAGAGCCAACGGCTATGCTAGCTTTAGGATTACGGGAGATGCGAATCGGTGACGTTAAAATTGCAATGAATTGTATTAACAAGGTTCATGTCACTTCCTTCTTTGATTTTTTCTTTTTTTACATTATGATGCCCGACTATAATTGAAATTTAGTTTTAAAATGAATTTATACGAAACAAATGTCCTTCTTATATCTCAGATTATCTGTATCAATGTTTTATACTAACCTAGATTTTACAAAAATTATACTAAATACGACTGCATTCATCTATGATAAATATACCAAAATATTTTGCTTTAATAAAAATACTTTT